GTGGACAAGTTAAGAGGTATATATTACAATCACAAGTGTAAGTGGGTATTAGTTGGAAAAATTCTATGACACATGTCTAGTTATGATTTTTTTTAGTTTTTGATTATTATTGGTTCTGGTATTAGTTGACTATGACTAATTGTAATGTAAATTATAATTTGATTATAATCCCTTCTTGTTTTATTTTAGTTATGTCTGAAGAGGTATTTGATTATGCCTCAATTAGTCTTTGGTTATGACCCTTGGTTATGTTGTAAAGTTGGTTATACTATAACAAATAAGAGTTTTAAAGATCAATTTTTTGTTTCAAAATATAAAAATTTTATTGCAAAAAATATTTAAGGACCAATTTGTGTTGTCACGAGAATAATTGCTAAAAGGTTAATTTGAAAAAAAAAAGAAGAAGTTTTAGAAATAAAATTTTAAAATTGTTGCTGATAGATGCATTTTTAGGGACAATCATTTTTTTAGATAAATTTCAGGTCCCAAAAAAATAATAATTTATCACTAAATGTCCAATTTTGTCTCTAAAAATACAATAATGCTATTTTTGACCCAAAAAAAAAAATATTACGTATCTAAAAAGTGATTTTATCCCTAAATTTTTGTTTTTAAAACCTTCATTTGTTGTAGTGTTATAACTTATTATAATTATTATTTTAGTTATGATCGAAAAAGTCTTAATCATGTCATAAGTGATATTTGATCATGATCCATTATATTATCTTTAATTTTGAATATAAAAGTAATTTAGTTATAATATTTATGATATGGATGACATAACTTACCTATGATATATACTAAAAAAAAAAATGTGTGCTGTAAAACAACCAAATATTATTATTTTATTTAGACACATCAAATTTATATAATTTATATTTCTTTCTAAAGTCAAGCATCGACGGAGAGTAGAGTCACCAAGTCAAACCTATTAGGCTCCTCATCATTGATCATTTTAATTTTGTTGTAATTTCATGTAAAATTTTATAAATATTTCTTTTTTTACTCATTTTGATTGGTGTTGACTTCAAGAATTATAGCGTAACGGATCATATACTTTGAGACTTGAAATAGAACAATTAAAATATTGAGATTGAAAATGTAACGTAATGTATGCTTTAAGGACCATCAGCGTAATTACTCTTTAAAAAAAAAATTACAATTTATCTCAATACATTGGCGTAGTTTGTATCAACAATTATAGCATAGATAACTACAAATAAACTCCCGAAGAAGGAGAGAGATATTCCAAATAATTGCAAGGGTAATACAACCCTTATGCAGGTGAAAAGAGTCGAACTCTTAACCTCTTAGTACACTTTAAGAGCTCTAGCCAATGGATTAATTCTTTTAAATGCTAATAGAAGGACAAATGTTGCCAAATTAAGGAAGATAGGTATACGTAGCTACTGTGTATGAAGCACAACAGTCACTGTTGTACAGCTAACTGGGCTCACTTCGGGCCTCATTTTGATAATCTGAATCATTCAATTTTTAGAGATATTGAGTAAAATATACTCGGAAAAAAATTAAATTAATCGGATATTGGTAGCCCTTTCATCTAAGTACATTTGTATTCTATTTTATACACAAAATCACATTAACCATTCATTTTTTTTAAATACAAATGTAAATAGATGAAAAAGTTATCGATATCCGATCAATTTGATTTTTTTACAGATATATTTTATTTGATATACTCTAAATAGTGAATGATTCAGATTATTGAAATAAGACCCATAATGAACCCTATTGACCGCACAACAGTGACCTGTGTATAAAGCACAATAATCCCCCCAAATTCAAATTTAAACACCATGGCTAGTTAAATTCTGTTTTGTTTTCTTTCCAATCTAGCAAATTGCATATTTTTTTTTTAATTTTATTTTTATGCACTTTTGTGTATCTATGAATGTAATGAACTAGCAAGTAATTTGTTGTCCCTTTCTCTAAATCAAACTGCAATGCAAGCAAGTAGTTTGTTCGATCCTTATTTTTTTTATAAACCAAAGTGTAAGCAAGTAATCTATTCTCTTCTTTTTGGTCCTTTGATATTGATATACTTTGGTTCTACCTATAGAAACTGATTGGCCTACAACTAGTCAGTCCGGTCATGACAGTTAAACACCAGGCCATAGACCATTCAAACAATGGCTTTAGTCCCCATATTGGATGAGTCTCCAACAAAAAAAAACATGTCATTTTTAAAAGATCCAACAAAAAAAATACTTCCCTTACCCAAAAGACTAAAAGAATTCGTTTGGTTTGGTTTGATTTTAAAATCAATTTTGAAAGATATATTTTTTAAAAGAGTTTTTAAAATTTAAAATTTTATTTAGTTGTGTATTTTAAAAACTAGCGAGTGACATACGCAATATCTGTGCAATTCAAATTAATAAGAATAAAAGAAAGTGATAATGAAATTAATATTATAATATGTATTTAGCTTAAGTGGTATAAGTTATCTTATCTTAAACTCATGATCATGGTATGAGGAGAATAAGATTTCACTATACCAACTATTTATATAAAACACTGCCACGTGGCATGAGGGTCTTTGTGTAATTTTTTATAAATAAAAAACACTATTTATATAAAACATTGTCACGTGTCATGAGAAGAGTACGGTTTAACTACACTAATTGAGACATTCACTTAATAATTGTACAGATAGAATTTGTAATTTGGGATGATTTGTAATTTTTTTTTAGATGAATGGATGAGGGCGAGAGAAAACGTTATTGATTGATGTGTATGATGTAATAGAGGAGAGAGAAAAAATAATTAATTGATGTGTTGAATGTAAGAGAAGAATGGATATAGAAAAATTGATTTAAAACAATTTTGAAAAAATTATAAAACCAAACAATTTTTTATTTTGAGCGCCCAAAAATTGATTTGAACGTGAAACAAGCCCTAAGAAATTCAAATTTTTTTTTTTATCAAGTCCCAGCCAAATAATCTCTGTCCAAAAGTCTTCAATTGTAAAAATTGAGAAAAATATTCTTTATCAACAGACTCAGAAAAGAATTTTATTCATTGAGTGATGATACATTAAAGAAAAAAAAAAAAACCCCTCCTTTTCTGAAGGATCAATAAATAAAAACTTCATATTCAAATCTCAACTAAAAAAAAATAATTATCCAAAAGTGCTCCCAATATTAACACTTAGAATTTTAATTACAAAAAGAGAAATTGCAACAGTAATTCTTATATTTTGATTCTTGTGTCATTTTGGTTATTATAATTTCAATTGACTTGATTTTGATTAGGAATTTATGATTTTGTTTCAATTTAGTCTAATTGATAACTCTTAATATTGTTTTATGAAAAATATGCATGTAAGTGGTATGTGTCATATTTTTTAGAGTAAAATTATATAAATTTACTAACTTCAGTGAGTTATCTCAACCAATTCAATAATTATTTTCAGTCAAAAACATTAACGATATTATCAATTGGATCAAATTGACACAAAATTTAAAATTAAGGGTTAAAACTGTATCAATTGAAAGTGTAGGGATTATAATGGCATAAGGGGCAAAATGTAAAGAGTACCAGTGTAATTTTCCCTTACAAGAATTAAACATATGATTTTCATAATATAAAAATTAATAAAAGTTATTTAAATATTAAAAAAAACCTAATTTGCCTTAACCTGGTGAAAGGTTGGGCACATCAATACAACATCCACCAAACCTATCAAAAGAAATGGCAGGCAGCCTTTTGAGTTTGGTCGGAAAACATTTTTTGAAAAAACATATATATATATATATATATTGTATTTTTTGGTATTTGAAACAATAGAAAATGAAAGTTAATGAAAAATATTTTCTATAGTTTACAGAAAACAAGTCTATATGAACAGAAAATAGATTTTACTTTTAAAAAATAAAAAACGTTTTCCACACTAAAATCTTAACAATGCCACCACACTACCACCGTCACGTCACCTCCACCACCACACCACCATCACCACAGCCACGGCTAGTGCCACCATCACCGTTGTCAATGCCCCACCACCATGCCACTACCTCTACCTCCACCTTTGTTTCACCACCACCACCACTACCACTAAATATAGAAACATGTTTTCTCTAGAAAACATTTTCTGAAAAAAAATTTCCATAAAAAATATTTTTTGTCCAAACAAACGGAGCATAAGGTCACAACCTAATCAGTTTCATTTCCCTTAATTCTTAAACTTTAATCCATATTATTCCATTAATGCATCTTTGAAAAAATACTAACCAAAAAAATTAGAACTTGATGCATTTCATAAATTTTTTAAAAAATACTTCTTTTGTGTTATTAATTTTGATGGCATTAACGTTAGGGATTAAAGTGTAACAAATCACATAATTTGAGAACAAAAATGGAACAATTAAAAATCGGGACTAAAATATAGTATAACTTATCCTTTGAAGATCATTAGTGTAGTTAACCCTTTTTTAATTACATTTTTTCTCAAAACATTGAACTAGTTTGAATTAACAATTATAATATAAAGAACTACAAATAAACTCCCAAAGAAAGAAAGAGATACCCAAAACAACTACAAGGCGAATAGGACCCTCACGCAGGTAGGAGGTATCGAACTCTTGACCTCTTAGTACGGTGCAAGACTTCTGGTCAATGGGCTAAATTCTGTTAAATGTCAAGTGCAGGACAAATGTTGCCAAATTTTAAACACCATATGGCTGGTTAAATTCGCTTTTGTTTTCTAAACTAAATTCCAAGCTAGTAAATTGTTTTGTTTTTATTTTTCTTCTTTGTCCTTTGATACACTTTCTTTGTATATATAAATGTAAGGAACAAGTAAGTAATTTGTTCTCCCTTTACTCTAAATCAGATTGCAAGCAAGGAATTTGCTCTCTTCTCAATTTTTTCCTATACCAAAATGCAAGCAAGTAATTTATTTTCTTCCTTTGTCCTTTGACATACTTTGTTTCTGTATAAATATAAGGATTGGGAGGTAATATGGAGTACCAACTGAGAGGGAGATTTATGATCTGGATTGGGCCGTGGTAATGGCTAGGCAGATTTGGGCCGAACACAGTTGGGCCGTGGTAGCATGGGCCTGTCTAGAAAGGTTTTGCTCGGTTAAGGCAAGGTGTGGTAGGACCAAGCTACTTGGTTTCAGGGTGCAGAAACCGGTCGAGTGATGGTCCGGCCGAGATGTCCGCTACCTCACTGGGTTCCACGGTTTGTGGGTTAGCCCGGCAGGAAGGCCGACGGCTAACCAGCTTGAGCTATCCCGAGCTCGGCTATGCCGGAATGCAACCGAGCTCGGTCGTCATCGAGCTTGGCGAGCGGAGCGCTCTGGCTAGCAACATAGCACGGCCTTTGGCAGTCGAGATGCTACAGCCCGGCTGCCGAGCTCCCAGTAGTGTGGGCTGGCAGTTTGGTTAGGTAATGTTCAGCTAGATTTACACTGACAGATGGGATAGCAGCACCACGTGTCGAGAGACTAATGGGAGTAGATTTGGGGCGCAGAAGGTATATAAGCGAGTCTGAGCCCCCCATGCTGGGATATATGAAACATTTGGTGAGATTTACACAAAAACAATCAGTCCTCTCTCTCTCTCTATCCCTGTGTGTGTCTAACTTGATCGTTGGAGGGATACTTCGGCCACATACCGCCGAGTAACTCACCGCTGTTGTGCTTGCAGGTCGATCGGACATGCAGGAGCTTGGAAAAAAGGAGTACGGGCTTGCCGGAATATTTGCTCCCCGTACACCAACCATATCATCATTGATCTTCTTGCTTTCAAAGTCATCACAAGCTACAAAATAGAGGTACGAAAGGGTGTTTTTCTTTTCTTCTTTTTAAGAATATATATGTTTTCTTTTTAATTAGTTGGTACTGTCTAACTTCTATTTTTTAGTTTACATGTTAGCTACAATAAGAATTTAATATCATTGCAGGGGTCACCAAGTGAGATTCTAACTTCTTTAAAGTTAAGCTTGATTTGTCCTACATTATTGTTATCTCTATATTCATAATGCCTTAACAATGCTGTTTATGAGAAATGTTTTTCGAGGTTCAAATATTTGCAAAATAATTACTATTATAATATGTATTTAGCTTAAGTGATATAAGTTCTCTTATCTTAAACTCATGATCAGGAGAATAAGACTTCACTATACCAACTATTTATATAACACATTGCCACGTGGCATGAGGATCTTTGTGTAACTTTTTACAAATAAAAAACACTATTTATAAAAAACATTGTCACGTGGCATGAGAAGAATAAGGTTCAACTACACTAATTGAGACATTCACTTAATAATTGTATAGATAGAATTTGTAATTTGGGATGATTTGTAATTTTTTTTGTAGATGAATGGATGAGTGGGTGAGAAAACGTTATTGATTGATGTGTATGATGTAATAGAGCAGAGAGAAAAAAAAAATTAATTGATGTGTTGAATATAAGAGAAGAATGGAGATAGAAAAATTGATTTAAAACAATTTTGAAAAAATTATAAAACCAAACAAATTTTTATTTTCAGCGCCCAAAAATTGATTTGAACGTGAAACAAGCCCTAAGAAATTCAAATTTTTTTTTTTATCAAGTCCCAGCCAAATAATCTATGTCCAAAAGTCTTCAATTGTAAAAATTGAGAAAAATATTCTTTATCAACAGGCCCAGAAAAGAATTTTATTCTTTGAGTGATGAAAAAAAAAAAACCCCTCCTTTTCTGAAGGATCAATAAATAAAAACTTCATATTCAAAGCTCAACTAAAAAAATAATTCTCCAAAAGTGCTCCCAATATTAACACTTAGAATTTTAATTACAAGAAGGACAAATTGCAACAGTAATTCTTATATTTTGATTCTTGTGTCATTTTGGTTATTATAATTTCAATTGACTTGATTTTGATTATGAATTTATAATTTTGTTTCAATTTAGTCTAATTGATAACTCTTAATATTGTTTTATGAAAAATATGCATGTAAGTGGTATGTGTCATATTTTTTAGAGTAAAATTATATAAATTTACTAACTTCAGTGAGTTATCTCAATCAATTCAATAATTATTTTCAGTCAAAAACATTAACGATATTATCAATTAGATCAAATTGACACAAAATTTAAAATTAAGGGTTAAAACTGTATCAATTGAAAGTGTAGGGATTATAATGGCATAAGGGGCAAAATGTAAAGAGTACCAGTGTAATTTTCCCTTACAAGAATTAAACATATGATTTTCATAAAATATTTCATAATATAAAAATTAATAAAAGTTATTTAAATATTAAAAAAAACCTAATTTGCCTTAACCTGGTGAAAGGTTGGGCACATCAATACAACATCCCCCAAACCTATCAAAAGAAATGGCAGGCAGCCTTTTGAGTTTGGTCGGAAAACATTTTTTGAAATATATATATATATATATTGTATTTTTTGATATTTGAAACAATAGAAAATGAAAGTTAATGAAAAATATTTTCTATAGTTTACAGAAAACAAGTCTATATGAACAGAAAATAGTTTTTACTTTTAAAAAATAAAAAACGTTTTCCACACTAAAATCTTAACAATGCCTCCACACTACCACTGTCACCTCACCTCCACCACCACACCACGATCACCACGGCCACGGCTAGTGCCACCATCACCGTTGTCAATGCCCCACCACTGTGCCACCACCTCTACCTCCACCTTTATTTCACCACCACCACCACCACTACCACTAAATATAGAAAAATGTTTTCTTTAGAAAACATTTTCTGAAAAAAAATTTCCATAAAAAATATTTTTTGTCAAACAAACGGAGCATAAGGTCACAACCTAATCAGTTTCATTTCCCTTAATTTTTAAACTTTAATCCATATTATTCCATTAATGCATCTTTAAAAAAATACTAACCAAAAAAATTAGAACTTGATGCATTTCATAAATTTTTTTAAAAAATACTTATTGTGTTATTAATTTTGATGGCATTAACGTTAGGGATTAAAGTGTAACAAATCACATAATTTGAGAACAAAAATGGAACAATTAAAAATCGGGACTAAAATATAGTATAACTTATCCTTTGAAGATCATTAGTGTAGTTAACCCTTTTTTAATTACATTTTTTCTCAAAACATTGAACTAGTTTGAATTAACAATTATACCATAGAGAACTACAAATAAACTCCCAAAGAAAGAAAGAGATACCCAAAACAACTGCAAGGCGAATAGGACCCTCACGCAGGTAGGAGGTATCGAACTCTTGACCACTTAGTGCGGTGCAAGAGTTCTGGTCAATGGGCTAAATTCTATTAAATGTCAAGTGCAGGACAAATGTTGCCAAATTTTAAACACCATATGGCTGGTTAAATTTGCTTTTGTTTTCTAAACTAGATTCGAAGCTAGTAAATTGTTTTGTTTTTATTTTTCTTCTTTGTCCTTTGATACACTTTCTTTGTATATATAAATGTAAGGAACAAGTAAGTAATTTGTTCCCCCTTTACTCTAAATCAGATTGCAAGCAAGGAATTTGTTCTCTCCTCAATTTTTTCCTACACCAAAATGCAAGCAAGTAATTTATTCTCTTCCTTTGTCCTTTGACATACTTCGTTTCTGTATAAATACAAGGATTGGGAGGTAATATGGAGTACCAACCATATCATTATTGATCTTCTTGCTTTCAAAGTCATCACAGGCTACAAAATAGAGGTACGAAAGAGTGTTTTTCTTTTCTTCTTTTTAAGAATATATATGTTTTCTTTTTAATTAGTTGGCACTGTCTAACTTCTATCTTTTAGTTTACATGTTAGCCACAATAAGAATTTAATATCATTGCAGGGGTCACCAAGTGAGATTCTAACTTCTTTAAAGTTAATCTTGATTTGTCCTACATTATTGTTATCTCTATATTCATAAAGCCTTAACAATGTTGTTTATGAGAAATGTTTTTCGAGGTTCAAATATTTGCAAAATAATGTAGACCTTGTATTTGATTTTTTACCAGAGGGGTTACTTGCAGATCCCTTGTTGCGGTTCCCTGCGTTTCTGAGCCTATTTAAGACCTCGTATTTGATTTTTCAACAGGTAAATACTCATATAATTAACATTGAGAGAGGGTTGTCTCGTGTTAGTTGGCCCCTCCTATCTATTTTACTGATTGAATAATCTATCGATTTATAATTACACATCCTTAAAAAGAGTGTATCATATGCATTTGTAATTATGCTATTTTCTTCTTTAATTATGACATTCTTTTAGTTATAATTCATGTGTTTTTTAGTTATGCCCATGTTGTGTTTAGTTATCATACGCATTTTTTTTTTAAGTTGTGACTTAGAAAGTATGAAATTATGTTATTTTATTTTTTAATTATAAGGTGCATATAGTACATACTTTTTAAGAGTGTGTACCATAGTTATACTTATATTAAGTAAAATGTAAGGAGTATTACATCCTAGTGGAATAAAAGAGTTTTTTTTACATAAACATGGAGGGGTACAAGAATATTTCACTTGTATTCCATCACAAAATCACTTACACCTCACATAATTTTGTATTTTTTTTTCTTTATCCCGCTATACTATAATTCCCCCTAAGATAAACTTTTTATCTGAAAATGTTCTATGAGCTCCAAAGTATTAATCTAAATTTATTAAATTTTTAAATTTTAAGAAATGCACATGCCATAGAAATATTGGCCATCTAACCATATCTATAATTTTGGAATTCAAAAATCTTAATATAGAAAGTCAAAAAAGAAATTTAGCCATCTCTAATTTGAAATTTAAAAATCTTTAAAAAGAATTCCAAATATGAAATTAGTCTTAAATAATTTTAAAATTTAAAAATATTTATTTCAAAATTTTCTATTTTTATTTTTGAAACTAAACAATTCATGCGGCATCCATAGAATTAAAAAAACATTTAGGCATCAAAATATTTATAGCAGATTTGTTAATCAAAGAGAAATTAAAACAAAAAATACGTGTGCTGTGCATATTTTTTTGTCACATAAAAAAATAAATTTGTTGTTCTTAAAAATTCGTATGATTTTTAACTATGTCTTTTAACAATATCCAAGCCTGCAATATTTTATTTTTAAAATTTTAAAATGCGTGTCATAAAATATAGATGATATAAAACTATTGGCATGTGGCATCTATAGAATTAAAAAAACATTTAGGCATCAAAATATTTATAGCACATTTGTTAATCAAAGAGAAATTAAAACAAAAAATACGTGTGCTGTGCATATTTATAGCCTGTAATATTTTATTTTTTAAATTTTAAAATGCGTGTCATAAAATATAGATAATATAAAACTATTGGCCTATCTACTTCTTTTTTCGTAATTTAAAAATTTGTAAATGGAATGTCAAAAATAAAATTCTGACCATATCTATGTTACATCTATTTTGAGATTTAAAAGAAAAGTCTAAATATAATTTTAATTATATATAATTTTAAAATATTTAAATGGAAAATATGAATGAAATTTTTAGCTACAAATTATAATTATCAAATGACCTAATTTTATTGAGAAAAAAATTAAATGAAAATTGATAGAATTTATGTTTATAATTATGAAATATTTTCTAAATGGAATGATAACTTATAATTTTTTGGTTTAAGGCTAAAAATATAGTTTATAGACTAGCCTCCTTTAGTCTTATATAGTTTTTCAAATATAAATATACTTTAATATTGATACAATAGATATATATTAGACTTATTTTAAGAATAAATATATAATTTCTTAATTAAAGTTTTAAAATGTTAATAAATATACAAAAATAATATATACATATTTCCTATTTTGTTATAAAAATATTTCTAAAAATATTTACCAATTAAAAATTAAATTTCGTCTGAAAATATCTATGAGCTCCAAAATATTAATATAAATTTCTTATTTTCTAAAAATTTTAAAATATTAAGAAGTAAAAATATCATAGAAATATAGGTCCATCTAACCATATATAAGATTTTTGAAATTTAAAAATCTTCATACAATATTGAAAATCAAAAAAGAAATTTATCAATGTTTTACTCATCATATCTAACCTAGATCTAACTCAAAATATATTTATTTTTATTTTTGAAAACTAAACAATATATATGGCGTCTAAAGAATTATAAACTTTTTAGCGGTCAGAATAATTACGATGTATTTATTAATCAAAAAAGAAATTTCGCATGGCACATATAAAAAGAAATTAAAAAAATATGTGTAGTCACTACAAGAAATGTCACTTTTGGCTACTAAAATATTGGTCGCCAAAAGTCCAATTTTTGGTCGCTGAAACAATTTAGCGACTAAAATATTTTGTCGCCAAGCTCGTTGCCTTTACCCTGTCGGCGATAGTATCGGCGACTAAACTTTGTTTGGTCGCCGAAAGTGACTACATTTAGCAACTAAATTTAGTTTAGTCGGCAAATGTTATGTTTCTGCCACTAAAACCTTTAGTCGCCGAATGAGGCTTTTTGGCTACTAAGTTGGTTTGGTTGGGAAAAGTGTCACTTTTAACTACTAAATAATTGGTCACCGAAAGTACTCATTTGGCTACGAAACATTATTTAGTCGGCAAAAGGTGCATTCGGTGACTAAAGTGTTAGTCACTAAAAGTGCTACCATAAAATGAGAATGACTATTATAGACCAAACATTTTGGTCACCAATAGAATACATATTATTAGCGACTAAGTAATTTTTGTCGTTGTTACTTTTGCCCACTAAAAGTTTCGTAGCCAAAAGCCTCTTAACATTCACTTCTTCACTTTTTGCCACCAAACATTTTAGTCGCCAAATGATACAATTTTTTTTCCGTGACTAAAAAATTTAGTGGCCAATAGTTTCTTTCTCTCATTCTCAATTGTTTTAGCTACTAATTATTTGGTCGCAAAAACGTTTTGGGTTATGTTTTTGCTACAAAATTATTAGTAACCAAAACTTTTGATCACCTATTTGGCTACCAAAACATTTGGTGGCCAAATAATTTTTTGTTTGGGTTTTTTTTTTTTTAAAAAAAAATTTTTGTAAACAACCTGTCTTCATTATTAGTACAACCTGTACCTTGTATAAACAATATAATCCATCAACACTAAAATATATTATCAACCATTAAAGCATTCAACAACGTGCACACATTTCAGTTCTAAGCATCCAAAAAATTAATCTTCAACATCCAATTCTATATCTAATACAAATTCCATACACTCCAAGTCTAATCCAACGTCAATAATTTAAATCCATACATAATACAGGAATAAAAACAGTGGTTCGGGGGCTGTTTTGCATTTTCGCCTCCCGAACCAACTCTTCCATCTGTAGCCATCTTGTTGGCGTCTGAACCTTCAACTACCTATTACCTTCTCCAGTATGATCATCGTACTGCTGTTTTCTCCATCGCTCTTGGTCCATTGATTGGCCTTGCAACTGATGATCTCCATCTGCTTCAAAGTGGATACAAAAAATAAAAACGTAGGTACTCATGACTAATAAAGCTAAAAACACCCTTTTTTTCTTGTGTTCTAGAAACAGAAAAAATATACGAAAAAGCACCACATTTATTATATCACGGTATTCACTACAAAAAGGTTGAACACAAAGTTCACAGTTTCTTAGTGCAATGACCATACCCAGAATGTTTGCTTCACTATTTAAAACATTAAAATGACAACCACTTGTCTCAAATTTAAAGAAGAAATTCAATTTTTTATTTTTTTATTTTTTTATTTTTTTTTTATATAAAATTTTACAAGGCCATAAACAAGTTACATTCTAAAAATCCATTATAAACAACCTATAGAACTCTAGGTATCTATAGAACTCAATTTTTCGAACTTACTTCACCAACCTATAGAACTGTAGGTATCTAGATGCAATTTGTTTTCTACAACCATTAGAATTTGACATCATAAAGAAGCTTCACAATGTAGCATTTTCTACATGAAGAATATGTAAGCTACAATTCACACTACTATATTCTGTTGTTCAACCAGATTATCACTTGGTGGTAACAATGAAAATATGAAAAATGATGTCAATAAAGTAACCAATTAACAATTCAGCAAAGAGAGAGCCAGATAACAAACATGAAGCTAGCATCCACACAAAGGCACAAGAACAAGATGCATAGATACTAGAGTAGATACAGTCGTTTTTGTTCCTCAATTTTCAAGCATTAATATATTGTAATCAGAATTTCTTGGATGTTTATGATCATGCAAGAAAAGATTAACCAGGAGGAATGTAGGCCATGCAAGTAAATTCAGAGAAAGGGCCATCTTTTACCTCTTTGAGATTGACCCATTCCCATGTTTCATCTGCTGTACTAATATCATAAACCAAAGCATGCCGGCCCTGGCAATTTTGAAAAAAGCAAGTTAAATTACATGCCCATCAAATACAGAAAAATCTTTCAACAAACAAACAACCAGACATACCTCAACAGGATTGTAGTCAGTTATAACCGCCTCATAGAAGTTATTGTCTTCAGGCCACCTTGTCCAAACTTTCCTTCCGACTTATGGATCAAAGTTTGTTGATTTTGGCTTCACACACAAATTATTCAATTTTTGTCTTTGACCACATTTTGCATCTTTCCAAGAAATTTCTTACCTGCAAAAATAAAAATCTCTCCAACAGACATCTCCAACATCAAAAACTATATATATGAAATAAAAATCCCACAGTTGCAAAAAAAAATAAATAATAATAATAAAATAAATAAATAAACAAATAAAGGAAGGCAAAAGAGACAAAGATGCATATATATATTTTCTTCTCTGGACGAGGGGAAGGGGAGCTTTTGTCCAATCCTAAAACAATAGCTGAATACCTGTCCAATAATCTTTGATGGTCTAAAGTTGCTTCATCAACAGAAGGTATTTCTCCATTAGTTCTAGGGACATGCTGCACAAATACAGCAACATAATAGTGAGTTTATTTATAACAAGTCATCAATAAACCATAGCAGATAGAAGCACATATGACAAATATGTGGAGAATGTCTAATTCAACTTGATAGCATTAGATATTGTTGTATTTCTTTATGTAGAATGGAGCTGTTTACTGTTTTTGTGTTGGTACCTCAAATATGGAACTGGTTAGGCTAAACTCTGGTGGTCTGTCTACACATTCTACTGGAGTGTCATGTGATCTGCTGTGTAAATCTATCCAGGTGCCGTGTTTGCCTGCTGCTAATGTCTATAAATTCTAGTTTGTGTTGTGCTTGCTTTAGTTTAGCTGCTATGAATAGCTACCCAGGTGTTGTGTGGGAGTGTGTCTTTGCCTTGCTACTGTTGATTCTGCCTTGCTGCTGCTAGCTCTGTTTTGCTGCCGAGTGTTTTAATGGTTATGGAAATTGTGATGTCAAGTACACGTAAAACTCTCTAGTGCAACTCATAAACTAATAATGGGGCTTTTAGTTATTATTTAACACAATAGTCTATGGCTGCTATCCTGACTTGTAGAAACACTAACTTAAAATATTTGAAGTCTCCAATGTATTTTTTCCACCATCAGATCTATATATAGCTAAAACTTGAAATATGCTTCATATCAAGCACTATAATACACTGTCTACATAAAGAGATTGGCTAGAGAGAGAGAATGAAAACCTTAAAATTGGGAGCATTTCTTCTTATATTGATCACATTTCTTGTAACATATTTCTTCTTCAACTCTTTGATCTTGCTTCCATGTTCTCAACTCAAAGTTCTGTGGCTGCTATCAGAAGGTGGGCTGAAGACCAACATGGATCCAATTTGCTTGTGCCTAAGCTATTATGGTTTAATGTTGCCCCTCCCAAAACCTAGTTTTTTGGCTGGTTCGCTTGGTAATGGAGGGTGAAAACAGCTGACTCTTCATCTCTTGCATCAATAGAAAAAGAATAACCACTTTGATTGTTACTAGTATAAATGTTTGGATTACCATATCGATATGATACATACATAGAATCAATAAATCCAAAGCCAGATATTTTACAGTCATAAAACCAAATATACATAGAATCAATAAATCCAAAATGAAATCTCGAAGTGATTATATATTCCTCACCACTTGTAGAATCCTAAACTTACTTGTAGAATCCTAAACTTACTTGTAGAATCCTAAACTTACTTGTAGAATCCTAAACTTACTTGTAGAATCCTAAACTTACTTGTAGAATCCTAAACTTACTTGTAGAATCCTAAACTTACTTGTAGAATCCTAAACTTACTTGTAGAATCCTAAACTTACTTGTAGAATCCTAAACTTACTTGTAGAATCCTAAACTTACTTGTAGAATCCTAAAACATCCTCATGCTTCAGTAACTTCTTTAATGATTGATAGACCCATACAAAACAGAACCCTTCAGTTCTAGTCTATAAATATCCAAAGATAGAGGCAGTTAGGAAATATATATATATTACATATTATGTAATATTATAAATTATGTAGACATATATTTGACATTAGATAGAATCTAGGAGAAAAATATGAAATTTCTATCTTTTATCTATAAAAATATTCTATTACTAAGAACTGTGAGTTCTTATTCAAATATAATAAAAAAAATTACATAATCGAAGTGTTCAAATTAAATACGGTGTCGGACACACATTCACACTCATACCCTTGTCATATTTGGTGGATCCGAGTATTTTAAATATTCTCACAAGGGAGTGGGAGACAAAAAATTCATATGCCATGGGTACACCAACCGACCTAGTGTACTAAACTTTCCAAGAAAGAGGGTCCACAATTCAGGGGGAGAGATAAAGTTTTAGAGTGTACTCAGCTCTCTCACAAGGGGTATTCATTACTGTAATGAAAATAAAGGGAAAAGAAAAGAAAATTACAGGCAGCACAACTATATCTAATAAATAGAATTACATTTCTCTATGCAGTAAGAAATTAGGTAGAGCAAAGCAAGTCATGGATTGCTAGGCACATGCCAAACCAATATACTCCAAGCATGGTATGAGAACTATGAAAATAGACTAACACTAACTAAGGAGAATTATGCAAATCACAGGAATTGAGGAAGCAGAGTAGATAAGTAGACAAACTATAAAATCAATAGACAATCAATAGACAATTTCCATCAATTAACTCAACCATCTGCATTAGTGGTCAGACCATAACCCATAAATGGTACTTAAAATTGCAATGAAAATAGCAATATCAAAACTGAGAGCAGTGGATCAGCGGCGCACAAAAAGGATGAAAGCACTATCAAAGAAATAGGACAATGGTAATAGTGAGAATTTGAGAATTTAAGAAATGACCTCCTCAAGTATTAAGTTGAAACAAAAATAAGAAAGTTCAGTGTATTTTCAACTTCCAGATTTTTAGGAAGCACAATGGTAGCTCGTATAAGTGCAAGCGTTAGTGATTAGGCATGTTTATTGATGGTATTCATCTGCACATACAATGCAAACAAGATTTTAAAGGGTCTGATTCAGGAAGAGAAAACAATAAGCCAATATAACCAAAGTTAGCTGTCTTGGAATTATTACACTCCAGTGAACCACAGACCAAATTCTTATTACATGAGTTGGGGAACTTTCTGAAATTCAGTTTAGCAAATATCCGTGATGTCCCATCACCCAGTTCAGTAAAATGGATAAAAAGTGATCAAAACATATACATATGCATAAGAAGCCCAAATCCACTCACAAAACCCCAAAACCCAAAACTAAAACCCCAAAACCCCTCACAATAATAGAAAATAGCAATTGTAACTATACATCAAACCATCCAATTCCACCTCCCAAACATATATATAACCATAGAAAGACAGAGAAACCTTCTTTATGTTTTCCAGAAATAATAGTTACTTCCTATTATAGTCTGGTTACTACGTACTTTTGTACAGTCATTTTTCAACTAGAAATTAACAATGTTGAACAAGTGAATTTTTATCATTATTGCTATTACAGCAAGTAAGCTAGCACATTTATTTATTTATTTATGTTAAAGCATTGAGCTTGAGGTTATTGATCAATCCCTATAACCCACCAAAAAGGACAAGGTCTACCAAGAAGCACTTTGCAGTCCCAGAAATATATATCACAAGCATGGTATAAATAATTTAACAATATTAGCAAAAGAGGGCAAGCTGCAGATAGAATCCTACCTAGGCCTCCTGTTCCAGATGCCTCAACATTTATAAAAGCTCCAATTGTGTCACGCCATTTATGTGATGTCGTGAAGCCATGTGAACCCTAAAATGTTGGAGACCGTTAACAAGTTCAATGATTATTAGCTGGAGAACACAACACTAGACTCCTATTAGCTTAAAATAGGCAATTGTGCAAAATAATACATTACCATTTACAACATTTGCCATTTGCAGTCTATCGTACATTTTAAAACAACAGTGGCTTATCCAACAGTGGCTTATGATTCAGTGGCTTATCCAACATTTTAAAACAACAGTGGCTTATGATTCACCTCAGAATTTGGAGCCAGTAACACACTTGACTAGGAACAACATTAAAATAGACAAAATTAAAAATGTGAGTGTGTATTTGTATTACTTGCCTTTAACCCTGCATCAGGTGAAAAGATGCATTTTGATGTGATAGCTTGCCCCTGATCTAATAGCCATCCCACCCCACAGCAAGTTTGACCATCTTCTCTTTCCTTCAGTGAACTCCACAATTGCTTTGGAAGCAATACCAGATTTTGGTCGTCTCTCACTGACTTTTGCACACTGTCATCTAATAGTTCTTGCAGCACATTCTGAAACAATTGAAATTTGAAAACAATTAACGAATCAGGCTATGGAGTTATGTTTATATGCATCAAATTCATAAGCATCAATTGCATGGATGAAAATTTGTATTTTAACATGAGAATTTTAGGCTATACAAGATACAACTCAAATCCTAGTGAAGAAAGAATAATTAAGAAGTTATAAAAACAACATTTAAAAGACAACATGGATCCTACAAGACAACATGGATCCCATCCACCAACAAAATCCATATTCTATCTTCCAAAGTGAACTGGATACGTCAATAACATGCATCCCAATAACATGCTTTCAAAATCCAAAAGTGCCTACATTTTAAAATTTTCAATTTTGTTTGCATACTGTTAGGTTTAATTTCTTGGCAATCCCGTTTGACAAAACTCCTTTGAATTGTAATTTTATTCGCATTTTTATTTCAGTGAGGCTATGAGTTGTTAGATGGGAATCCAACCCGAATCAAGCCTTTCAGAGAAGTTTGTGATGCTAATGCTTTCAAGATTGCCACTTCGCTGATTATGACGGGGATCGAGCTGCCCGATCAGCTCGCGGGGGTCCAGGGGGCAACGCCCCTTAGCGGGTCCAGGGCAGCGCCATGGCGGGGGCGAGGGGCAGCGCTCCCGAAGCAAAATGCAATTTTGCATTCGAAGTTGCATGTCATTCCAAGTTGCCTGTCCGCTCGAGCGGAGAATCCCTGGTTCCAGCAGTTTTGGTCGCCTGCAAAAGTACTGAGATGTGTGATTTCGCGCTCAAGCGGGTTCTATAGCGCTCGAGCGGACCTCTGTTATATCACGCACATATTTTGCTGAAGACGCTCGAACGGGCTGTTAGGCGCTCGAGCGGAGATCGCGAGACAGATTCTATAAATTCGCGTGTTGGGTCAGATTTTAGGATAACTACTCCAGATCTTCTTTTTGGGTTCTAGGGTTTATATCTGGGGATACTTTGTGAGTTTTCTTTGATGTTTTGATTGAGTATTCAACTCGTGTTTTAAAGAGGATACATCAAAGGTTTTGTTTGTTCTACAAAAGAGAGAGTTGTTCTTCGGTGGATTCTGAAGAATTCGAGCCTGAAGCTTTGGTGGATTCCGGGGTGGCTCATCGTAAAGACAATTCCGAGGTGAAGACGGGTTGGAAGAGGCACATAGAGGTTGGTTCAATTAGGCGTGGATTCGCTAGGTAATTGAGAGTATACCTGTGTAATTCCTTTAAATCTTCTTAGTGGATTGTTTTGTGGCTGTTGCTCGTGGTTTTTTAATCACAGTTGGAGGTGTCCAATTGTGGTTTTTTCCACGTTAAAATCGTTGTGTTGATTTGTCTTGATTGTTTGATTGGAATTGTTATATACTGCTTAAAATTGTTACATTATCACAAATCAATATCTAGAGGGGGATTTCTAGATTTTTCACATACCATTTTCCATTAGGGAAAAAAAATGAAAAGAGCAGAGGTAAAGAATAAAATATGAATCCAAAAGACACCCCACTGTATCCTAGAAAACATGCTTTTATAATCCAAAAGTGCCTAAGTTTAACATTTTCAAAACATCATAACAGGGCAAGTGGATGAACTATCCAAACGGCCATGTTGCAAGCTCCTTAGGCAAGTGGATACATTACAGTATAATCTTGAATTCCTTAGGCAAATACTTCTTTTAAACAATACACTCTTGAAAGAAAAAAGAAAAAAAAGATGCAGCTATTCATACAACATAAAATAAATTTTTTTTTTTTGGGTGCTGATTTTCCTAACCTCCTTTTCTAATTGCAGAATCTCTAAGCACCAACTTCTGGATTAAAATGCAAATACTCCTTTAGTATTTTAAGCATTGCCTAATACAAAACAAGAACTGGGGAGATTACCCAGACAATGCAGATTCTGCTTTAAGATGCTTCATCACTGTCGATTATCTAGATTCTCAAGCATTAAGCGACTCATCATGCTTGTCAGTTCTGGTTACACGATTTATTGCTCCAGAGTATGCACTCCCAGGAACCTTGATCAAAAGCTCTTCATCTATGTTCTCCAGACAACCTTCGTCCTGAAATTAATAGCACAAATCCAACTGTAGTTAACACAAGTCCAACAATTGTTTTCTGGAAGAACGTAGTACCTTTAGATTAGAATCAGTTTGGTCTGTTTTTTGAATATTTTTTAGGCCATTCATGATGGCTTTAAGTTGTTTCTTGGCCTTCGCCCTAAATTCAGTGAAGTGTAGGAGTTTAGGCCATTCAATAGGAGTTTCCATGATATCTAGTCCCCTAGAAATTATAATGAAAGGTATACTTATGAAATAGCAAATAAGTATACATAATTAAACAACTTAAATAGAAAGATAATTAAATTGAT